GAAGGCCTAAAATAAGAGAGTAAAGATGGAGAAACGTCTTGGAGGGTGGAGCGACGTCCATCCACTCCGACTGCTGGAGGGCAACTGAGGGGCTAGCCACCAGCAGGGTTGCCAGATCCAAATTGCTAAAAGTAGCGAACTGACGGTCAAAAAGTAGCGAATTTGCAAATAGAGTAGCCCAATTTTTTGTTTAGTCAAATCGAATCAAATCAAATGTTTATTCAGGTAAAAGTACATTCATACAAGATGAGTTACAAACATAATGTTAGATTTCTAGATAGCGACAGTACATACAGACAGACGACATTCAAATTTAGTAAGTTTATCTCCCTTCTTTGATAGAACAGACTTGATGTTCATCTGCTGATGACTTACCTCCGATATATTTTGTCTGTGTTTTAATGTTTCACTGTGTTTCTTTAAACCACTTCTATGAGCTCTTATCTCAGTTCTACAAACTTTACAATATGCCTTATTTCCATCTTCTTTCACTTCAGTCAACCACTTTCCAAACACCGGATCCTTAAGCCAGGACATCTGAAACGCTTCCTGGTATTTAGACCACTTCCCCATTTTACACTTCTTTATCTTAACACTTAAGCAAATTCTAAAAGTAACAGCAGTAACTTCTTTTCTATATGCGGTAACTTGTGTCGAACTATCCTTCTGGAGGTCAGAGCCACACTAACAATGCAAGCACAGATGAAGCTGCCAAGTTCACTGTATACTAATCCGCTCTAACGACAGTCATTTGATTCTTGGAAACACCTAAAGAGAAACCTAATATTTACAGTAGGCAACAGTGGGAGGTCACTTAACATAGACAGTACCCGGGATGAAGTATTAATGGCAATTAAGGTTGGGAAATCTATAGCCCCTGGGGAGGATTATCTTGCCTTGTGGGTACTTTTTCCTTGGGAAGATCTTAGGATCAACGTCCCCAGGGGGTCGGTCTCTGACCTGGCCTCCTGTCGTAAGTGGTCTATTCAATCAAGCGGACGCGGTTGTGATTGGACGCGGTTGTGATTTGTACACATGACATTATAAAAAACATAAAAATCATCATTGAGTTTCTTAACATTAATAGCCCAAAATAGCCCAATTTGTTTTTAAAGTAGCCCAAAAAGTCGCAAGTAGCGAAATTAAAAATTTGGGAGCGCGGGGCTCTGAAAAGTAGCCCAATTCGCTACTTGTAGCCCAATCTGGCATCCCTGGCCACCAGCTGCCTCGAGGGCCGCCGGCCGGATGGAGGATGGACCAGCCCAAACGGTGGAGTCCACACTCACAGCATGTAGAGAGCAGAGAGAGATGTTGGGTGTAAACATATTGTGTGGTTTATTTCGTTTATGTGTTTATAGGGAAACATTTTTATTGGCGTGTCAATGGGTTGCACGTTTGTCTGGGGAAGGAGTTGCTGAGAACTTGGAAGCCAGCAGAGAGGGAGTAGTTGATGAGACTCCAAGGTTGTGGAAGGTACTGAGCTCTGTGGGAGAGCAGCCGTACAGTGAGGAAGAGAGCATTAAGCTGTGAGAAAAGGAGTAGTGGAATGAAGTTCCACATGCCTCTGTGATACCATTGGTGAAGCACCATTGTTACTCAAGGAAGACTTCATGATGCAGCAGCCTGGGAGAGCTGCAGCGGATCCTGGTACATAAAGCCGGAAGAACCTGATGATGTCAGGGTAGTGAGCTTCCAGATGTGGAAGGGAAGTTCTTATTGATTACTTGTAGGGAGTTGGTAGAGTGTTTGGTTGTCATTAGCGTGCAAGACGCAGTGAAAGGTGAGTGATTGACTACCATTTTTGTGCCAAGAAGTACTTATACTGAAGTATAAGTACTTATACTCTTGCAGATAGTGCAACATTGTCTCATGAGACTTGACCTACATGATGAGGTATGTAGTATTAGGTGGTGAGTCAGAAGTTAGGATACCACTTGATAAGCTGATGATATATTCCTGATGGTATTGGAGTGCAACCTGACTACATTAATATAGAGTGTTGGAGATATATTGTTATATATATGATATATTGAGAGAGAGAGAGAGAGAGAGAGAGAGAGAGAGAGAGAGAGAGAGAGAGAGAGAGAGAGAGAGAGAGAGAGAGAGAGAGAAAGAAAGAACCAAGAACCATAGCTGTGGACAGAGTAGTATGGAGTAATATCAAAGAAAAGGGGATTGAAGAGATCATACCACATAAGGAGAGAGTGGGGAGTCACAGCGGCTCGAGTGGGTGTGTGCACGTGACAACGAGGCTAGTGTTGGAGCCGCATCCCTTAAGTTTGTGACGCTGAGCCCCTCTCCATGTGCCAGAAGCGCCCAGGGTGATCTGGTAAAAATAAGCACTCTACGGAATTTTGGATTGGTTGTCAGAAAGGAGGGACGGAAGGACGACTAACAACAACAACAACCATCATAATATTTGGCCTAACAAAAGCCGTGAATATTTTTTTAGTATTTCGCCATCTATGTATTTAAAAGCAATTCTGAAGTTAGAAAGCGTGGCATAGGCTCCTCGCACAATATTCTTTATGTGGTCCTCAGGTGATAGTTTTCTATCTAGAACCACCCCTAGATCTCTTTCTTTATCTGAATTCTTTAAAGATTTCTCACATAACTTATAGGTTGTGTGGGGTCTTTGTTCTCCTATTCCACATTCCATAACACGGCATTTATTCACATTAAATTCTATTTGCTAAGTGGTGCTCCATATACTTATTTTCTCCAGGTCTTCTTAAAGGGTATGACAATCATCTAAGTTTCTTATCCTTCTTATTTTCTTAGCATCATCAGCAATCATGTTCAAATAATTCTGTATACCAACTGGTACATCATTTATGAAGACAATGAACATTACTGGTGCAAGAACTGAACCCTGTAGTACTCCACTTGTGACATTTCTCCAGTCCGATACATTGCCTTTGATTACTGCCCTCATTTTTCTATCAGTAAGAAAATCTTTCATCCATGTTAGAAGCTTACCTGTCACCCCTCCAATATTTTCCAATTTCCAGAACAACCTCTTATGTGGAACTCTGTCGAAAGCCATTTTTAGGTCCAGATAGATGCAGTCAATCCAACCATCTCTTTCCTGTAATATCTCTGTGGCTCGATCATAGAAATTGAGTAAATTCGATACACAGGATCTTCCAGATCGAAACCCATACTGTCTGTCTGATATTATATCATTTCTCTCCAGGTGTTCTACCCATTTATTTTTTATTTTTTTCCCAATATTTTCACTGTTACACTTGTCAATAATACAGGTCTATAATTAAGGGGGTCTTTCCTGCTGCCACTTTTGTAGATTGGAACTATGTTAGCCTTTTTCCATACGTCTGCTACCATTCCTGTACACAGGGATGCCTGAAAGATCAGGTGAAGTGGAATGCTGAGCTCAGATGCACATTCTCTCAGAACCCATGGTGAAACGCCATCTGGACCAACTGCTTTGTTCTTACTTAGCTCCTTTAGCATATTTTCCACTTCATCTATAGACACACCTATACGCTCTATGTTGTTCTCTGGAATTTTTATTGTTTCTGGTTCTCTGAAGATTTTATTTTGCACAAACACACTATGGAACTTTTCGTTTAATGTTTCACACATTTCCTTTTCATATTCCGTGTCTCTGTCCCCCATTTTCAACCTCTGAATATTATCCATTACCTGCAGCTTACTTTTAATGAATTTTAGACAAGGCCTGGATCTGATTTACATTTGTCTGCTATACCGTTTTCAAAGTTCCTCTCTGCCTCTTTTGATACTGACGTGTAGTTGTTTCTCGCATCTTTGTATTGCTGGTATGTTTGGGGGTTTGGCCTCTTCCTATAATGATTCCATGCCTGTGTCTTTTGGTCTCTGGCCCTCTCGCAATTTCTGTTGAACCAATCCTGTTTCCTAGGTCTGCATCTCTGTTTTGGTATAAATGTTTATGTGCCTTCATCGTATATTTTGCAAAATATGGCATACATCTCATTTACTTCCTTACCTAACAACAAGTCTGTCCAATTATACCCATGAACTTTTTTTTAAGTTCCTCATAGCGTCCTCTCTTGAAATCGAGTTTAACAACTGTTTCAGTGTCCCCATTCTCTACTCCCCACCATCCCTCCACTTCACCGTCCCCTCGTCCTCCCCACTATCCCCCAGTCCCCCATCACCTTTTTCTCCCCACCATTTCCCCCTTCTTTCGTCCCCTCGTCCTCCCCTACCATCCCCTGCTCCTCCTGTCCCCTTATCCTCCCCACCATTCTCCACTTTCCCCCATCCCCTTGTCTTGCCTACCATCCCCCTCTCCCCCATCCCCTCGTTCTCCCCACCATTACCCCCTTCCCCGTCTCCTTGTCCTCCCCCACCATCCCTCCACTCCTGTCCCCTCGTCCTTTCCACTATTCCCCGCTCCATCGTCCAATGCGTTCCCAAATGATCTGATGTTCCCATCAGAAAAATGGGAACATCAAATGATCTGATGTCCCCATCACAGAAAAATAAGAAAAACAGTTATTTAACTAGAAATAATCTTTGAAAAGGAGATTCAATATTTAAACTTAATAATGGGATTATATATGCAATAATTTAAAAATGGGATTAAATATGAAAATATGGAAAACAAACTTATTGAAAGAAGATAACGACTGGCTGGCTGATGACGTTATTCAACATTAGGAATAGCTGTACCCATGCGTCACCCAGCTAACTCAATTTAGGGATGATGGAAGGGTGCTGCTTAATCTCCTCAGGAAAAATAGGAGGAGACGGGAAGGAGCCATTTTAATCTCCCTTTAGAAAAAATATATGACGGAAGGGAGCAGTCAATAAGTGATTGAAAATATTATGAGACTACGAGGTGGAGTCACCCAGCTACAGAAAAGTATTAGGAGACTACATTCTCGAGGTTCATAGAATAAAAAAAGGAAACTATAGGGGTGCTGTAGAAAAAAATTAAAACAGCACCCCATAGTCACCTTTTGTACTAGTAGAGGGAAGAGAGAGGAACTCACCGCAGGCACTGAGAGCATGGCAGTGAGTGTGCTGGAGAAGACGGAGATGAAGATAATACAAGAAAGAAGCCACGATGCTGTTATCACTCTTCTACTGTCGCTCTTCGGCAGCCACGGGTTACCTGTAAACGTTAGGTAATGAGGCTGTTATTAGCCTACTGGTAGGAGCTACTTGGAAAAGTTTCAGCGGGGAAAGACAAAGCTGTTAATCAAACCTATATATAGTGCCATAAAATAGAAGGGTAGAAACAGTCTAAGCTATTCAATCCTTTTGGGATGTATTTTATATATCAATAAACTTACTTGAACTTGAAATTGAACACTAAACAATTATCACTAATTTTTTATGTGATTTGAAAACTGATATGAAAAGCGAGATCATAGACAGGATTTATTATTTTAAAAGTATGTAGATTTGTAAAAGCCGAAATCTTTAGCATTGTCCAGATGAAGTGTGTTGTGTTCCTTGCTGACTCTGCATTGAAACGTAGTTCCTTAATTGTCCACAATAAAGATAAATGTATATTCTCTTAGTATTAATAAGGTGGGAGAGTGATTTTCATGATAAAGTTTTATATATGAAGACATTCCCAGTAAAGTAAAACATGTGATCTTATGGAAACTACAGTTGAGAAATCTCGGACTAACGATTGTCTGTGAACACCAGGACAGGTGGTCCATCGGAACTGCCAGGTGGTGTGGGGCACTCCGTCTCAGCTATGTGAGTGGTGCCCCACGCGGCCGTTCGTAGTCATTCGTTAAGAGGTGTTAGGTTAGGTTAAGGGTATAGGTGTTTGTTATGAATCCATATATTTGATTCTAGCATTATCATGATAAATATGTATGTCCATTATTTCTTTCCTCAGTTATTTAAATAAAACATTGTATCCAGTTGTGTTCCAGTATATATATGTTTGATTTAAATGTAGCATGATGTAGTGTGCCTGTATTTAATATTTTGTTAATGCTATTGCATGTTCATTCCTGTGGGGGTAGACCGTGGCGTCTCATGGGGGGATGACCATATTTGAGATGTTCACATGGATGTTTACATGGCTGAAAAATTCAAACTGCCAGTTTCCAGGAGAATGTTAAAGGCTCAGCTTGTAAGAGTCATTGTCACACACTTGGTGGAGGAGGAGAAACTTGACGAGGAGTGTTTAGAGGAATTAGAAGAAGAGTCAAGTGACCAGGTGGCAATTCTAAAGTTAGAGATAGAATCTAAGCTAGAGATGGCTAAATAAGAAGCAGAGAAACAGAGGTTGGAAATGCAGAAATACTTGTGTTGCAAGTGTAGACTTGTCTTCCACAGTATAGACTTGGGTGGCATGTGTAGAATTGTGTTGCACAGTGTAGACATGTGTTGCACAGTGTTGCCTATTGGTGCAGTGTACATTGTGTTGCAAGTGCAGACTTGTGTTGCACAGTGTAAACTTTTGTTGCATGTGTAGACTTGTGTTGCAAGTGTAGACTTGTGTTCCACAGTGTAGACTTGTGTGGCAAGTGTAGAATTGTGTTGCACAGTGTAGACGTGAGTTGCAGTGTACATTTGTGTTGCAAGTACAGACTTGTGTTGCACATTGTAGACTTTTGTTACTTGTGTAGACTCGTTTTGCATGTGTAGACTTCTGTTGCAAAGTGTATCCTTGTGTTGCATAGTGTAGAATTGTGTCGTATGTGTAAACTTGTGTTGCAAAGTGTTTACTTGTGTTGCATAGTGTTGACTTCTGTTGCATGTGTAGAATTGTGTTGCATGTGAAGACTTGTGTTGCACAGTGTAGACTTGTGTTGCACAGTGTAGACTGTGTTGCACAGTGTAGACTTGTGTTGCACAGTGTAGACTTGTGTTGCACAGTGTAGACTTGTGTTGGAAGTGAAGAACTGTGTTACACAGTGTTGACTTGTGTTTCAACTGGAGACCTGTGTTGCTCACTGTAGACTTGTGTTGCAAGTGTTCACTTGTGTTGCAAGTGTTCACTTGTGTTGCAAAGTATATACTTGTGTTGCATAGTGTTGACTTCTGTTGCATGTGTAGACTTGTGTTACAAGCGTACACTTGTGTTGCATGTGTGGAATTGTGCTGCATGTGTACACTTGTGTTGCATGTATGGACTTACGGTGCATGTGTACACTTGTGTTGCACAGTGTAGACTTATGTTGCATGTGTACACTTGTGTTGCCCAGTGTAGTTTTGTATTGCACGTGTAGATTTTTGTTCCACATTGTTGACTTGTGTTGCATGTGTGTAGTCTTGTCTTGTATTTTTGTAGACTTTTGTTGGAAGTGTAGGCTTGTATTGCATGTGTAGACTTGTGTTAAAAAGTGTAAACTTGTGTTGCATAGTGTTGACTTCTGTTGCATGTGTTGACTTGTGTTGAATGTGAAGACTTGTGTTGCACAGTATATACTTGTGTTGCAAGTGTATGCTTGTGTTTCACAGTGTAGACTTGTGTGGCAAGTGTAGAATCGTATTGCACAGTGTAGACATGTGTTGCATAGGGTAGACTTGTGTTGCATGTTTGTAGATTGTGTTGCACAGTGTAGACTTGTGTTGCACATGTAAACTTGTGTAGTATGTGCAACTTGTGATGCACAGCGTAGATTTGTGTTGCATGTTTAGACTTGAGTTGCACAGTGTAGACATGTGATGCATGTGTAGACTTGTATTGGACGATGCTGAATTTTATTGCTTGTGTGGACTTTTGTTGCAAATGTTGACTTGTGTTGCACAATGTAGACTTGTGTTGCACAATGTAGACTTGTGTTGCACATGTTGACTTGTGTTGTATGTGAAGACTTGTGCTGCACAGTGTAGGCATGTGTTGCATGTGTAAATTTGTATTGCATATGGAGACTTGTGTTGCACAGTGTAGACTTGTGTTGCTTGTTTAGACTTCTGGTGGACGTGTAGACTTGTGTTGCACAATTTAGACTTTTGTTGCATAATGTATATTTGTGTTGCTCCGTGTAGACTTGTGTTGCACAGTGCAGACTTGTGATGCACAGTGCAGATTTGTGTTGCACAGTATAGACTTGTGTTGCACAGTGCAGACTTGTGATGCACAGTACAGATTTGTGTTCCATGTTTATACTTGTGTTGTACAGTGTACACTTGTGGTGTATAGTGTAGACTTGTATCGCAAAGTTTAGACTTGTTTTATATGTGTAGACTTGTGTTGAATGTGTAGACTTGTGTTTCACAGTGTAGACTTGTGTTACACAGTGTAGAATTGTGTTGCACAGTGTAGATTTGTGTTGCAAAGTGTAGACTTGTGTTGCAGAGTGTATACTTGTGTTGCAAGTGTTGACTTGTGTTGAATGTGTAGACTTGTGTTGTATGTCGAGACTTGTGTTGCATGTGTAGACTTGTGTTACATGTCGAGACTTGTGTTGCATGTGTAGACTTGTGTTACATGTCGAGACCTGTGTTGCATGTGTAGACTTGTGTTGCATGTGTAGAATTGTGTTGTATGTCGAGACTTGTGTTGCATGTGTAGACTTGTGTTGCATGTGTAGAATTGTGTTGCATGTGTGAAATTGTGTTGTATGTGAAGACCTGTGTTGCACATTGCAGACTTGTGTTGCATGTGGAGACTTGTATTGCGTGTTATGGCTTGTGTTGCATGTGTAGACTTGTTTTGCATGTGTAGACTTGTGTTGCATGACTAGACTTCTGTTACATATTGTAGAATTGTATTGCAAATGTAGATTTGTGTTGCACATTGTAGAATTGTGTTGCATGTGTAGACTTGTGTTACATGTGTACACTTGTGTTGCAAATGTTGACTTGTGTTGCACGATGTAGACTTGTGTTACACGTGTTGAGTTGTGTTGGAAGTGTAGACTTGTATTGCATGTGTAGACTTGTGTTTCATGTATAGACTTGTGTTGCAAAGTGTATACTTGTGTTGCATATGTTGACTTCTGTTGCACAGTGTAGACATGTGTAAATTTGTGTTGCACAGTGTAGACTCTTCTTGCTTGTGTAGACTTGTGTTACACAATGTAGACTTTTGTTGCACAGTGCATATTTGTTTTGCTCAGTGCAGACTTGTGTTGCGCAGTGTATACTTGTGTTGGAAGTGTAGAATGTGTTGCACAGTGTAGACTTTTCTTACATGTGTAGACTGGTGTTGTATGTCTAGACATATGTTGCATGTGTAGACTTGTGTTGCATAGCGTATGTGTAGACTTGTATTGCATATGTAGATTTGTGTTTCAAGTGTGGACTTGTGTTGCATGTGCAGACTTGTGTTGCACAGCGTAGATTTGTGAGGCATGTGTAGACTTGTGTTGCACGGTGTTGACTTGTGCTGCACAGTGTAGACTTGTGTTGCGCAGTGTAGACATGTGTTGCATGTGTAAACTTGTGTAGTATATCTAGACTTTTGTTGAATAGTGTAGATTTGTGTTGCATGTTTAGTCTTGTGTTGCACAGTGTAGACTTGTGTTGCATAGTGTAGACTTGTGTTGCACATTGTAGACTTGTGCTGCACAGTGTAGACTTGCGTTGCATGTGTAAACTTGTGTTGCGTGTGTAGACTTGGATTACACGGTGCAGATTTGTATTGCATGTGTATTACTTCTGTTGCTCAGTGTAGATTTGCGATGCATGTGGAGACTTCAGTTGTACAGTGTAGACTTGTGTTACATGTCTAGACTTGTTGTGCACAGTGTAGACTTGTGTTGCATTGGTAGACTTGTGTTGCACAGTGTTTACTCGTGTTTCATGTGTCGAATTGTGTTGCACAGTGTAGACTTGGTATGCATGTGTTGACTTGTGTTGCATGTGTAGATTTGTGTTGCATGTGTGGACTTGTGTTTCATGTTTAGACTTGTCTTTCATTGTAGACTGTGTTGCACAGTGTATACTTGTGTTGCAAATGCACAGTGTATAATTGTGCTGAACAGTGTAGACTTGTGTTGCATGTATAGACTTGTGTTGCTTGTGTAGACTTGTGCTGGCTTGTGTTGGCTTGTGTTGCATGTGTAGATTTGTGTTGCACAGAGTGAACTTGTGTTGCATGTGTAGACTTGTGTTGCTTATTGTTAACTTGTTTGCACATGGTTTACTTGTGTTGTACAGTGTAGGCTTGTGGTGCATGTATAGATTTGTGTTGCA